GGTGAGTCACGTGACCTGTCGGAGTTGGGCCTGACCTATCAGGTTGAATCTTTTTTTTTTTTTATTCCATAACACATATAGAAATTTTTTTAAATTATTTTCATGAGCCTATATTATTATCAGTTGATAGTAAGAAGGAGGAGGGATGGGAAGTGGAGGAAGAGGAGAACGACGACGAGGAGGAAAAAAAGGAGGGAGAATGAGGAAAAGGAGGAGTAGTAGTAGAACCAGTAGGTGGAGAAGGAGGAGGCGTGTGGAGACAATGAAGGCAACGGAGGAAGAGGAAGAGCTGGATATTATGCTCCTTGTAAAGTTAATGTGAAACAGTAGTTCTACGTTTGTGATTTTTTGTTAATCTAAACTTTGCAAGACCCATTACTTTTCGATAATTATAATGATATACGAGATGGCGATTGCCGCCATGCACAGCACATATCTTGTGTTCTACTAATATGCTCTGTGGATTGCGTTTACTTTTATCCATGTCAATTTGAACCTACACTAAACACAAAAATTAAACTTGGTGAAATGATACCTGTTTAACACCTCTATCAACACTATTAGGTTATTTAAAAGGTGGGATCTTCGAGTTTAACCTCCATCTAAAAAGGGAACCAGCCAAAAGGGATATTCATGTAAAGTGCCCCCAAGGACACCACATCGGACTGGGCTGAGTCTCGAACCCCCTTTCTACACCCTTCCTCTGACACAATTATTCTATCTTTGAGTAAAGAGAAGCCCATCAACACAATAAGGGTCATTCAGTAGTGGGAAAAAGTAAGACAGACAGACAGACAGACAGACAGACAGACAGAAACAACAGAGGAAAAGTGAAGAAGTAGGACCTATCAGATGCACCCTCCAACCACCCACAACAATTATTCAAACACCCTCATAATAGTATTATTATCACTAAATTATAACCAATCAACTAACTACCCTGCCCCTCCCCCATCCCCTACCCTCCCCTCCCCTCCCCTCAAAACTAGGTTCGGCTCGACCCAGGTGGACGAGTACAACGAATCTGGCGGCACTGAGGGGCTGACCCCTGGTGACGTATTAGCGGTCTTCTTCAGTGTCATGGCGGGCTCGTTCGCTCTAGGCGGTGCCTCCCCACACATCACATCGCTGCTCACGGCAAAAGGGGCAGCCGGCACCATCATATCTATCATCAAAGATGTAAGATGTTTGTATTATTACGTAAGGTATACAGTCTAGCAAGCACATAGCCAACTTTCGGTAAGACATGGAAATCTTTTTTGTTGTTGTATATGAACTTCGCTATGTGTGTGTTTTAGATAGAAAAAAATATTACTACACGTAAGAATACATTCGAGACCTAATATGTTAGCTTTGTGAGTGTGCAAACTACTATGTGCGTGCTAGAAAAATTGTGAAGGATGGAGTGAAACGTGGTTGTTTTCATGGGTTATTGTCTTACTCAGGTTGTCCTCATAGTAGACCGAAAGGAGAGAGAGAGAGGGAGAGAGCGGGAGAGAGAGAGAGAGAGAAAGAGAGACAGACAGACAGACAGACAGACAGACAGACA